TAACTGGTGCTTTAAATATATACGTATACAGGTTTTATTTGGCAATATGTTTCATTTTATATTTTAGTTCTGGTCAAGCATGGATGTGACCGCAGGATATTTATAGAGAAGCCTATAAGAGTCGTAATGAACCACAGCACCTGGATACGTCTGCAAGTAATGACATAGTATAGAAATGACATATAGTATAAAAATCCAGGCATATAATACCAGACTAAGTTGGAATAAATAAATTGACATTGACACCACACAGAACACATAAGAACCGCAGGAACCTGTTGAGAGATAATATAGAAGCCCAAAAAGAAGAAATGAAAACGAAACAACTCGATAAAACGAGTATGGATATCAGAAAGCCGTCTCCCATGGTACATGCAAGTTGTGCTGCATAGGCCAACAACTTTTTCGTAGATAGAAATTAGATGTAGGAAATCAGAAAAGAAATAAAGAGAATCATGAAATAATCCCGAGCTCCAAAGCAGAAACGAAAAGATATTCACCCAATGCAGATCGAATAGCCTCCCAGAATCGATTGTCGTAAATCTCCCGGATATGAAAGGGACAAATGAAAGTAATGAAAAACACCATAGCACGGATATCCAATGAAGATGACCCAACCCAGCGCCGGGAATGTTGATCCGTGGGAAAGATAGCGCCCCAAACACCAATGCCGAATTCGAAGACAAAAACGAGAAGAAAAAAAAAAATTGAAGGAAGAGAGGCGAATTGACGGAGAATGAAGATAGAGAAACGGTAAAAGGGAGTCGGTGAGAGACAACTGGCGGAGTTGTATCATGCTAGATAATAGCCACCAGACAGTTGGCAGAACTAGAGAATACCTGAATCCCTCAAGGCATTCTGCAATATAGTTTCTTTGACCGCTGCAAATACCAGGCGAATGTTTGTCGTATCGGTTGCTTGCGTTAAGCTGCAGTCACACAAGTTAGATTATGTAACAGACTGCCTACCGCATGGAACAGGGGTCTTACTGTGGATAGAGATTGAGGTGTGCTCGATTGACCTGGTTAAACCGCCAGAGCAGGTACTTGGCCGCGCGATTCACGTCATTACCGCCAGAATAGTCAGGGAAGTAGTTGCTCAAAGGTGAACGAGGAAGCTTCTGGCGGAACAAATCGACCTTGTTAAGGAACAGGACAATACTAGTCCGCTTGAACCACCGAGAGTTCACAACCGAATCAAAAAGAACTAAACTTTCCATCATTCGATTCTGCCAGCAAGTTAGGACTTGCCAATTCGATTCCCCAGGCCCTTATCACATAACGTACCTGATTGCTTTCTTCCAAGAGTACCTGATCATATTCACTTAATGCCACGCAGAAAATGATGGAGGTGACGTTCTCGAAACAGTGTATCCACTTCTTTCGCTCGCTACGCTGGCCGCCAACATCAAACATACTATGCAATGATAAGTCATGTGTATGTTGAAGATAAACAAGGGATAGATGGTTTTCGCATACTGTATACTCAGCTGGCCCATGGTGAATCTAGTTTCGTAGATACCGGTGGTCTTTGTTCGCGCGCGAAGCACATCGTCGACGTTGGGGATGTAATCTGGCGAAGCTATCCGTTTGGCCTCCTCAAAGAAACTAATAAGCAGCAATGTATTAGCAGAAGTCCCTTCAGTGACAAAACAGGGATTGAGTGCGCAAGCGCGCGCGTGCGCGCAGGGATGCTTACTATGGCGCAGAGTCCATCAGGTAGAATTCATTTTGATGCTCGAGTGCGGTTGATGTACACGGGTCACTCCATAGGTAGGTGATGGCGTCCCCAACAGTCGAATCGAGGGGGGTGTTGGGATCGGGATCAATGTTGTAGTCGGACAGGAATTCGATGAACTCTTGGACTTTGGGACTGGAGGGCTCAAGGTCGTAACGTTCGTAAGCACCAATGAGGGATCTGGCGCACTCGAGCAGGTTCTTGTAGACAGTTAAACGATATAAAGCTAGTTCTTCAACGGTATAGCCATTTTGATGGATGATCTTCATCTGTTTGACGATTGTGGATTTCCCGCTTTCTCCGGATCCTATAACGGGCGCATATCATGGTTAGTTGACTCGTGATAAATGGGATTGTTTTGGGGGTTGATCCATAATCTGAAACGAACCTAGCAGTAAGATTTTGCATTCTCTCCGTAACTGTCTCGAGTCCTCCTCTAGTCTCCGATCGATCATCTGGCTTCTCTTTTTCTGTTCCGTCACCTCCCCCGTTGCTTCCGTACTGAAGCAGGAACCCATTTTGTTCTTTATTGACACAACACAGCGCACCACAGCCTGGCTCTTTCTTCAGGATTGCCCGAATTGAAGTGATATACCGTGACGAGATCCCCGATGGGGGCGCGGACCAATGCGCCGTTCGCTGCAGGTAAGACGGAGGATCGGAGTACCTGGCGGCGACAGGAGAGAGCCTCAAGACTTGGCTGGGTTATGGACAGGGGGATAAGAGCCTTAGCTCGTTGCGGACAGCTTTCAGAGCTCAAAGCGACGAGAACCGATGATGTCGGCTATATGAAAGGGAAGAGCGGCTAAATCTTGCGGGAGCGCGCGCGAGACGGGAACCGGCGGCGGCGATCGAGCGTGGAGGAAGGGACTGAATGGGTGCGATCGAGGACTGCGCAATTTATTCGAGTCAGAACGAAAAAAGGTATATATAATTTAACACAATCCAGGAGAGGCAGGTAGACACAGAATGGTTGGAAAAGAGTGAGACATACAGAGAGATATAAAAAAAAAAAATAAAAATAAAAAAGAAAAGGAAAAAGCGCGAGAGGGGAAAACAAGAAAGAGAGAAAGTGAGGACGGCGGACAGTTCCGGGGCTTCGGACGGGCAACAAAGGGCAAAGCAAAAGACGGCGCAGGCAATGGCCCGTGACAGGGTACAATGCTCGAGGTCGTTCTTTTGCGGGTAAAAGAAATTTCTGTATAATATGCAGGATCTCTGGTTTAATTTGTTTTTGTGGGAGAGAGTGAGGGGTGTAAGGTATATAGAGTGCGCTAAAGAGACGATGGAGAAAGAGATGCAGACAGACAGGGAAAGAAGATATAAGAGGTGGAAATGAGATCGGGTAAGCACCGGTTATTTTATGAATCTGATAATATGAAGAGTCGGTCAATGGGACAACACAGTATCTTTGCTAGTATATGGAGGATAAGTACTTTGGACAAATTCATAAAGAGTACAGGTATGGTGGTAGAGGTTCGCTGAGGATCCCATCGTCATGTCAAGTGGAGAAAGCATCATACCGTTCGGCTAGTATACGGACAGATACAGATACAGATACAGATATACATACACAATTAACAACAGGCATATGCATATCATTGCTATCTCTTCTTCTCTTGAACTCCTATGAGTCTTTTAATCAATACTCTGACTACACCGGCAATAATTACGCTTGGCGTATCATCCATTTGTATATCACGTGGTGCTCCGCCCCCCACGCCCGGGTATATATAGACCGACATACCCCAGACCCTCAGCCTCGCAGACAGACCATGCAGTCATCTGCACCTGCAGAGTAACCAACGCTCGATATCTGTACTCTCAATATCATTTTACAGAGTACCGAGTACCGAGTTAAGGATCTGAAAGACAGTGGTAACGATCGGCATCAGGGACCAAGATCACGTTAATATGCTAGTAGTAGATCCATACTGTATTACTGTATCTTACCAAACTGATGACGTTAGTGCTACTACTACTACTACTACAGTGTTGCTATGTGATATTGACGGAAAAAGTTCCTTCTGATAAATACTACAATTGCAATTGAGAAATTGACGGAGGTGTGGTACTCTGTATTCAACGGTTTACAACCAAGGGACCACTGACTATGACGGTATCTCGGAGGTTGGAGATCCCATAACTAGAAAACGAAGTAGAGTTTGGTGAAGGGTATATATTGGACAGCTATGACCAAGAGTAATAACAGACCTTGCGGGTTCCGTGCCCCGTTGGAAAGCAAGACGGACGCTCACTCTTATACTCTTGGTATGCTACTCCGGGTTCATACTGTACATAATACTCTGGAAAAGAATTCCATGGCATCATCGAGTATGAGGGGCGTACAAGTGGTCAAGTACCTCAGCAATAGACACGCATAGACTCCACCACCATTGCCCAATGGCAAAGAAAAGACATTTGAACCTCTGAAATGTTCTCGATTGTTCAAGAGCAATCCATACAACTAATATGTCCTGTATATATAGTAGCAGTGATTGATGTCATGGCTACCATGTCTCTATTACGTCGTCGCTGATTCAGCAGGATCTGGGTCCGGAATTTCTCAGGTTTGGCACAGGGAATCATAAATCTGGGAAGCGTCTTCCAACCAATGTTCTTCGGCTGTACATTATTGTTCACGTCATGCCCTTTACTTCTTTGTACCTTGTCGTAGACACACCCTCTGGAAAAGTGTAGGTTGTAGTCCCGAATATGTGGTGAAGATTTCCCCACACCGTTGGCCGCAAGAAATCCACGCCACTTCTTCCCTGTACACACTGTCTGTCCTTCTTTGCTTTCCCTTTTCTTCTTTTTTTAGTTCTCTATTATTGCCCTCTCTCTGTATCTCCATCGATATTCCTTTCTCTTTCTCCTTCAAGCACTTTCGTTCTTCTCTTGCGTCATCTTCAAGATCTTCCTTATAGTTGGGACCCCTCAGGAAACCACCACTAGAATAAAAGTACTCCTGCTACCGCCTCCGGGCCCTCTCTATTCTCTCTTCCATTCCTCACCACCCCTTATCTACCATTCGTTCTGCATCTTTGCCTTCTTCTCGACTACTACTTCTTCCTGTTTTTTTCTCTGTAAAGAAAAGAAGGGAGCAGAAATAAGAATCGATTTATCAACAGCCAGAAAAAACCCAACCGAAAAAGAAGAAGAAAAAAAAAAAAAGAGCAGCCTCGTGGTCCTCCAAAATGGCGGAATTCGTGCGTGCCACGATTTTCGGCACCACCTTTGAAATCACCAGCCGGTACGCATTCGCGCAGATTTCTCTGAAGGAGGAGGTCTAGAAATCAGTTTGAGAATGGCGACTGATCGTTTTCTAGGTACACGGAGCTGCAACCGGTGGGAATGGGTGCCTTTGGTCTTGTCTGGTAGGCCCCCTTCTCTTTTATGAATGAATTTCGGTCCTGTCAAGTCGCGGATGCAAAACCTAGCATTATACTCTATCAAAACGATTACGGAATATTAACACGATGTGGCAATTTACAGTGCCGCAAGAGATCAATTGACCGGAGCGCCCGTCGCCGTCAAGAAGATTATGAAGCCGTTCAGCACGCCCGTCCTGTCCAAGAGAACATATCGCGAACTGAAGCTCTTGAAACATTTGCGCCATGAAAACGTGCGTTGGTCTCGAGTCTGATGATTCACATTACTACGCGCAATACTGACAACAAACAAGATTATTTGCCTGAGCGACATTTTCATTTCCCCGCTCGAGGATATGTACGTGCTGATTATTGCCCGCAAACCAACCCAACCAACCGAATCCTCCGGAATCCGCGGTAGCTGACTTTCATTGTTACAGTTACTTTGTCACCGAACTCCTGGGCACCGACCTCCACAGACTCTTAACTTCCCGACCATTAGAGAAGCAATTCATCCAATATTTCCTCTACCAGATCTTGGTATGCCGCGATCATACTCGTTTCTTCTATAATTATTTCACACGGTTATATTTGGTCATGAAAAAGCTGACCACCGATTTTTGTATAGCGGGGTCTGAAATATGTCCACTCGGCCGGTGTCGTGCATCGTGATCTCAAACCGAGCAATATCCTGATCAACGAAAACTGCGACCTGAAGATTTGCGATTTTGGTTTGGCCCGGATTCAAGACCCGCAGATGACCGGCTACGTGTCGACGAGATACTATCGCGCCCCTGAGATTATGCTTACATGGCAAAAGTATGATGTGGAGGTCGACATCTGGAGTGCAGGGTGTATCTTTGCTGAGATGCTTGACGGGAAGCCCCTGTTCCCCGGCAAGGACCATGTCAATCAATTCTCTATCATCACCGAATTACTGGGTACGCCACCAGACGATGTGATCGAGACCATCTGCAGTGAAAATGTACGCTACCGATTCTTTGTTCCCTCCCCCCTCGGATAGTGCTGATTTATCGGTTTTCTAGACATTGCGATTTGTCAAGTCGCTCCCGAAGCGGGAACGGCAACCATTGACCAACAGGTTCAAGAATGCGGATCCTGAAGGTACGTAAAATGTTCCTTCACAAAAACCCGATGAATTTATGCGCTGACAACACACAGCGGTGGACCTTTTGGAACGAATGCTGGTCTTTGACCCCAAGAAGCGAATCCGCGCCGGTGAGGCTCTGGCGCACGAGTACCTTGCGCCCTACCACGATCCCACCGACGAGCCCGAGGCACAAGAGAAATTTGACTGGTCGTTCAACGATGCGGATCTACCGGTGGACACCTGGAAGATCATGATGTATGTTATTCGCATACCAAAGCCCTTGCGGATTGCTGACTGAATTACTTTCAGGTACTCTGAGATCCTTGACTTCCACAACATCGACCAAAGTGAGGATGCCGGGCAAGTCCTTGTGGAAGGCGTCGGGGATAGCCAGCAGGCATTCGCCGCCTAAGGCAAGTTAGGAAAATAATAATATCGCACATTGGCGCGTGGGATCCAGAATAGACAGATTTTTTTTTGTTTACTTACCCCTTCTATATCCATTTCCTCTTTACAGTGGCGTCACCGGGATGATGGACATATGGAGACGGGATTTTGATTTGTGATTACGAATGCTTGAGTGACGCCTGTACACGATAAATTTTATTATGTTCTTTTACCCTCATGTTTATCTTTTTTGACCCATTTTGCTTTGTCTTATTTTGGCTGTACCGGGATACTCCGGGGCGTGAGCTTGGATATGATTCTTGATACGATTCACGGAACCACAGATGATAACTTGTTTGTAAAGTGATAAATCTATACCAATCATGAAGAGATGTTTGAAATAGCAACGATCTAGTATCTGTACCCAGTCCATAGAAGAGTCGCTAAGAGACGCCGACTCGGCCACCGCCCGCAAAGAGGGGGGGCCATTTCTCCGTTCCCCTGATCCTGGACCCCGTATCATCGATAATAGCAATTCCGTTCAACGCAAACTATTTTATTCTATTTTCTATTTCTATTTTCATATTCTGTTGACATGGGGGCTCTGCTCCCGGGGCGATATTATTATTGTTAGATAAGCTCAGGACGTGTCATTTATTTGTCGATTATTCCTCCGGTTTTGGTACGCAAACGCAACGCCTTAGGATTTACATGACGATCCATCGCCATGTCTCGTGTTCAGCAAAGTCGCCAGGACCCTATTGTGATGGTCATTGATTTTCACCATGCTAGGTGAGTTTTTAGAAGACAGGAATAACGAGGTGCAAGGAGAGAGACAGTTTATTGCGCCGTGGGGATGCCCCGCGCATTACACTGAGCAGTCAGAAACAGAACAGACCGGCTAAAATCTATGGTTTTGCCATTACCGCAGGGGTCCTGAGATTGAATTATGCGTTGGAGACGAGGGAACGGATCCCGCGACAGAGAATGACTGGTCTTTACTGCCGTTCATGGCATTATCTGACGGAGCGCATGCGTACGATCATCCCATCCCATTCCCGTCCCCCATACCAAAACATGGTCCCAGAATAAATAAATATATATATATATAAAACACAGTTCAATTGACACATCCTCTTCTAAATATCCAGATCAACCGAGGAGTTTTCCTACTTCACCCTCCGTCGCGTCGAGACACCCACGAAACCCGCAACATCGCTCTTCGGTATTGCCTGTTCCAGACAGATAGACGCGAATACCCTCCTCTACAGTCCCCCTGATGTGACGAGGTCGACGGTGCAAAAGGCTGTCGTGGTCGTTACAGACAGTCCGCAGAGGGTTGGGCAGTTGAGGGAGAAATTGTCGGTTGTGACGTCAGCGTGGTTTGCGCAGCGGTATGTTCCTGCTTGCGGGGGAGGCTTTATGGGGAATGGGGCTTGGTTGGGGATAAAGGCTGACTTGGATTCCCTGATATAGGAACTTCTCGGATGTCGATATCTTGAGGGTGGGTACTTGCTGGACTCTGAAGTCTTTCGAATGCTTTCTGATCATGTCTACAGAAATTCCGCGAGGGCCTCGTTATTAGCCTCAAAAGTGATGAAGCGAAGAACGATCAAAACCTTGGTGAGTTTGGACGGGTAGCGTCCTGGTTGAATTAGTGCTGATCATACTAGGGCTCTCGATGCGAGAGATGATCCATGAATTCAAATATCAAACCCTGGTCTTGTTCAAGGCTCTGCTTCTACAACCAAAGGTATGTCCTCAAGTCCAGCGTGGCGAACTCAAACTGACCTCCGCAGATGCTCTTTTTCGGTTCGCGTTGCGAACGTCTATGCATGATTCAATTCTCCCTGATCTCCCTGATACCCGGCCTCTTGAATCACCTTGAAGACTGCGCGGACCCGGCATTCGACAACTACACGCAAAATGCTGAGAAGCCAACCACACTGAAGACCAGTGAGAGAGGTTCTAGTATGGCAAATCGCATATCGTTATCTTTTCAATCTGGTCGCTAATTCCGTCAGTGCTAGCATATACAGGTTTACCTCTGCAGATATTCGGAAAGGCACGTTCTCATCGCTCAAGTTTTAAGGATTGATCTAACTTTCTCTAGGGCAGCATGTTCGGTCCTTATACACCGCTCCAGCAGCTGGATCTGCTGGCGGATTCCGGTACCAAGTCATACGTGGTTGGGTCTACAAATTCGCTTCTTTTACAACAGAAGGATCGTTACAGTGATATTCTAATTAATGTGAGGGTACTCCGCATGTTCTCAATTATCGCTAACGGGCCCGCTAGCTCGACGAAGACACTGTTAATATTTTATCTCCCTCCTTCCGAAACGCACTCACCCTCTCCGCAGCTGACAGGCGTTGGATCGATTTCCTGACACAGGTCATCAACGAGACTTGGGACGAGGCTCACCCGCAACGACCCAAGACCCACGGCTACATGGGTTCAGAAGAGTTTATCCGACTACAGTTCGAAGAGTACCTACTTGCACTACTTTCCTGCATGAAATACCACGAAGACCTCAACTCGTTCAACGCAGGCGAAACAGGGCACAAGAGCAAGGAGCAGCTGGAAGCATTCAACATCGAAGGAGACCCAGCCCTAGAATTCAACGCAGAATTCCTCGCGCAATGGCAAACAACACCCAACTACGCTCTCTTCAAGCGGCTCACCTCTGACGCGCTCCTCTTCTCAATTGTCGAACCCCGCCATCCCTGCGCCGGTGGTCTCACAATTGAAGACGTCCAACGACGACTCTCCCAACAAGTTGCAGAACTCCACCTTGACGATCGCGTCCGCGAAGGCAGGGAAGCAATAAACCGCCACCTCTCCACAGGCCAAAAGAAAGTCAGCGCCGTCTTCAACAGCTTCTGGTCCGACATCGACACGATGCGCGAAGCACAGCGGGAAAAGAACGAGGAAAAAGAGAAATCCTCCCAATCGCAACGCTCCTCCCTGGAACGGACCAACTCCCTGCCGCCAAACACCTCAGACACAGCCTCGATAACCTCAAGCACCGGTACGGGTTCCACATCGTGGTTTGCGAACCGCAAAGCCCCCACGGTCGATGTCGCTCAGGCGCAAGCATCTGTCAGCGCCGCAGGCCAGAAAGCAGGTTCTTACATTAGCTCCTGGGGAAGCTGGGCCAGCGAGAAGAAGAGAGAATGGCAGGAAAAGAGAGCCACGGCTTCATCCTCCTCATCTCCGTCTTCCCCTACTACCGTTGCTGTCGCATCCCCATCCACACTAACACTAGGCAGCATCTCAGAGGTCACCCCCGAAGCCGACCGCGGCCGCACCCGCTCCATGCCGCGTCATAGCGAGGACTCAGCCAGCACGCTCTCTCGCAGCAGGAGCCGACGAAAGCGGTGGAGTAATATCCTGTTGCGACGGGATAGCGGCGAATCCAGTCTCTCGCCCAGTCGGAAGGATGATAGCAATGAGAGCAGCGAGGGGGAGACGAAATATCCGAAATCGCCCTTGTCGAGGGAAGCCCCGATGTTGGGAGGGGATCTTGAGAAGTCGACGACGGCTGATACGCTGAGTGCTGAGTCTGTGGGGGCGAGTGATAAAGCGGAGAACGTTAAGGCGAAGGAGGCGAAGACTATGACTGAGGCTGAGCATACGAATGGTTCTTCGTCGGAGTCGTCAAAACAGGAACCTGCTGAGAAGACATCATCTATGACACCATCGCAGGAAACAACAGGGAGCTCCCACGCAAATGAAGTGAAGGATACCATTGAAACGCAGCATGCATCCTAATATACACCAAGTTGTTCCGTATACGACTTGCCTGACATTGTTGGATATGAATAATTGTTCGAGTTGGGCTTTGATACCCGGGAGGACAGAGCTGTATTATACATCTTATTTCATTTATCTTTGGTCATGAAATGCATGCGTAGCATACAAAGATAGACAAATAATTTGATACCTGACTATATACAAGCTCACCGTCTATTCTGACATTTTGAGTATCATCAACAGTCCAGCACATCACTGAATCCTAACCGACCCCTTCAACCTCAAATCCCGACTACTAGCCCCCACAAAAATTCCATACTCCGCCCTCTGCAACCTCCACTGCTGCACTTCAACGTCCCAAATACTCAAATCCCGCCTCGTCAACGGAAACCGAACACTCTTCGTCTGCCCGGCTTTCAAAGGAACTTTCTCGAAGCCCCTCAACTGTCGAACGGGAGCGTTGGGAATGGAGACATATAACTGCGGGATTTCAGAGGCTGTCACGTTACCAGTGTTTGTTATAGACGCAGTCACGGTGTACAACTCATCCCACAGCTGTGGATGACCACCCTGCACAATAGCAATATCAGGATCCGGCAATTCAGCCGTACTACTACTCCCATTATTCGCCGTAACCCTCAACCCCGCATACCCAAACGTCGAATACGTAAGCCCGAACCCAAACTCAAACCGCGGCTCGATCTCCTCCTTATCAAAATACCGATAATCAATATACAAGCCCTCTGTGAAGTTAACCTGCGGGAACGCATCGAATGAGATGGTCGAGTTGAGCAGGCGTCCGTAGTCAGACTCGTTTTTGGCGATTGTGTAGGGGAGGCGGCCGGAGGGGGCGATTTCGCCATAGAGGACGTCGGTTAGGGAGTGGCCGCTTTCTTGGCCTGGGAGGCCGGCGAAGAGGACGGCTGTTATGTTGGGATTGTTGATCCATGTGTCTACTGTGCGGATTCCTAGACTTGATTTAGCATGAATTTTGCGAGGAGGGTGGGGTGGGAAAGGGTACCGGCTGAGTGGATCACGACGATGGTGTTTGTGCAGTTGCTGGCGACGTTCTTGACGAGATTATCGCTGAATTCATCCTGGAGGGTCTCGCGGTCGAAGCTCTCCGATGCATACGCATTGATGAACACGAGACAAGCGTCACTGTTCACATACGCGGGAGTAGGATTCTCAGACCAGAAATCCCACCTGAGTGTTCCACGGTCCCGGGAAATTCGTTCCTGGATTGCCTGAATAGGGCTTACCACGTACGGAGGCGTGCTACCCCCGGAACCACCGCCGGTAACCAACGTGCCGTTAAAAGTATTCCAGCCAAAGTTTACCTCATACCCACCACCGTAGCGAGATGGGTTGTTCCAGGGTGAAGGTGGGAGAGTGGCATCATAGCCGTAAACGCTGAGGAAACGGGTGGAATTGGTGAAGGGAAGGGCGTTGTTGGTGTTCTTGACGAGGACGATGCCTGCAGCGCCGATTTCGCGGATCAGGGAAGCGTGGTCGCCCTGGACGTCGACGGGATCGTGTTTCTTGTCGTTGGCATAGACGCCGTTTGATGGGTAACCTTTGTTCTGGTCGAGGTAGTACCAGCTTGATAGAATGCGGGTGGCCATGTCGTTGATGCGGTCTGTGCTGACACTACCGTTGTTGACGGCTTCGGTGAGTTTGTTGCCCCAGAAGCCTTGGTCTGGCATGACGATGTCCAAGCCGGCGTTGGCTGATGCGACACCTGCGTGCTGTCCTTCCCAGTCACTGACCACGAAACCCTCGAATCCAAGCTCTGTCTTCAGAATACCGTTCAGCAGCTTCGAGTTTTGGCACGCATACGAGTTGTTCACACGCTGGTACGAACAAAGCACACTGCCCACACCATCTCTCAACGAATCCATGAAAGGAAAAGCGTACAGTTCGTGGATAGTTCGGTCATCAGCATTCGAGCTCTCCGATTCCCCGAGATTACCAGGGTTCCGTCGCCACTCCTCCTCGTTCAAAAGCCAGTGCTTCGCAGAAGCAATCACACCTGCATCTTGAATACCTCTTGTAATTGCTCCCATACCTGCACCAGCAAGGTACGGGTCCGCACTCAGACCTTCCCAGTTGCGACCTCCTCTAGCAATTCTACCAAGCGGACCCGCGACGGGCCCCAAGGCGACATGAATACCTTTATCATGGTACTCTTCTCCCAGGGCATTTCCGTATTGATACATGAGAGAGCGGTCCCATGTCGCTGCGACGTGAATGCTGGCAGGGAATGCAGAGACAAATTCCTGGCCTCGGACGCCATCTGGTGCGTCTTGGAAGCAGAGCGAGGGAATTGAGAGACGGGGAACGGCGCCGCTGTTACCGACACATGCGCCGTCAAAGCCACCGGTGACGTTGACTTTCTCTTCGAGTGTCAACTTGGACACAATGGCTTTGGCGTGTTGGTATGCGTTTTTCCAGGCATTGCTGGTCGTCCCGTTTCCGACGGCTAGGATCAAGCGCAAGCAGTAGTTAGCACATACTCCGTGAATCGTGAAATTGAACCTCAAGCTGGCAGCATACGAGACGGATAAACCGGCGGACTAAGACCATAGTACGGCACCTCCGACTCATTAGTATACCCTTGAGCCGCACACAAAGTGCTCTGCGTGAGAGCAACCGAAAAAAATGGTGAAAGCACCTTCATCGCGAGGACAGAAGCGTAGCGAATTGCTCAAATGGCGCACCAGTCCGCCAATCCCTGGGCCTCTATCCTGTATTTAAACATCTCACTTCTTCGGCTCAACATATAACTACGGACTACAAGCCGAATCAATTGACTTCACTTCGGGGCATTCCCGATTGAATCCACACACGTTGTGCTCGAGGGAGACGGAAGGCGAGACTGAAAGATGACCGGGTATTCTTCGGGCTTGGGAGTACACAAAAGGCACTATGCCCGAGTGCAATTGTTGTGGGAAAGCAAAGCCCGATGGTGCCATCCGGCTAAAGGCATGGCGATATAGATCCAGTGGACGGAGTGACATACGGGGTCTCTCCGCAATGGGGAGCTTGGCGCCAACAGCTCTTTATGTGAAAATATAGAGAATAGCACATGTTTCTGCTCAGAGAGGTTTGGCTGCTCTTTTGTTTCATTCCACAGCTTCTAATTGACATATAATATATGTGAAGCTGAAGTACACGGGGGAATCATTCATGTTATCAATCATCACTCGATCGGTAAGATCCGAACCTACTCCACATTTCAACCTCGGTCTCCGTCATCGGATGAGCTATATAATCCGGGATTTGGTGAATGTTGCGAATGATATTATGATAGCAGGTTAGGCGCATTCTACGTCTGCAGGAAGTTCCCTTTAGCCAGCAAATGGGTTATCATTGGTCATATCAACGCTATGGGAAATACACAATAAGATCCGTCGATGTAACCCGCCAAAGTAACCGATCGTTCTTTTCCGAGAAGACGAGAAAAAAAGCAACACCAACGCTAAACACAACGAGAGGACATGTAAAGAAGAGATATATTGTAGGAAACTTCAAGCGATGTACGAGATCTCGTCGCCTTCTAGACGCTCGATATAATCTTTCTCCATAAGAGCCTCGATGTTCTTCTTAATATCCGGGATCTTAGGCGGGAAGCGGGCTTTGACCTGCTGGATCACTTCCTGGACAAGCTGTACGTGTTTCATCTTCTTGCGCGACTTCATGATACGGACGATCGCAGACTAGTGGGGCAGATTTTAGCTAAATTCGTAATCTCAAGTAATATGGAGCAAAAACTCACCTGAAGCAGCAACTTCCGGTCCTCCTCGACTGTCTTGTGTGTATCGTCCGACTCAGTTTTCTGCTCCGATTTAATCTGAATGTTCAGGTTGACCTTGATCTTCTTGTTCTTGAAGTTGTGGTTCAAAAAGAAGGATGTCCCCGGGGCCGGCTTGGATCCTTCGGGGCTAGCAAGGAGAACCTTGGCTTTCAGTAGGATACTAAGATTAGGTTGGAGCATTTCAGGCGCAAGGGAAGTATAGTTCTGAATGTCCTCGTATTTCAAAGTGTCGTTCTCATTGAAGAGCAAGAGGATACCCATCTGGTAGGTCGAAACCTGGAAGGTGTATGGCACCTTGGCGTTTTTGATGTAGTTGGCTTTGATCTCGCCTTTGCAAAGTTGCCAAAGCCAGGTTAGCTTTCGACCACTATGCTTGTCAAAGTAGAAATTCTGGAACCGCTCGGCGGTCTTGACAATCTCCGGTGGTGCGAGGAAATCCGTCGAAGGAGGATTGAGTGGCCAGAAACCGGTTCCCAGAATCTGGAAGTGCGAGTCTACCAATTTCTTACGGTCGTCATCATCAAGGACCTTCTCCTGCCAGTCCTTGTAACTACCGTTAAGATCTTTGGAGATCTGAATGTCCTGGAACATGCGCTGCAGCTTATTGGTATATTCAAAACCACAAGCCTCCTTAAGCTTGCTTATCATGCTGGTTTCCGCATCGTCTGACACCGAGCTAACATGCACCAAACGCTTGGCGAGCATCTTGGAATAGAATTTCTGGAAAACATCCTTGTCTTCGATATATTTGAAGACAGTCATGATTTGCACCAGCATCTCCTCCAGCTCGGATTCCTCCGTAGCCTTAGACCCCTTCTTGAGTAATGAATCGGTATAACGGGCCAACAACTCTGGTGATTTTGTCGAGCTGGCTTTGCAGACCTTGTTCCGGTTGACAAACTCCCGGCAGGCATTGTCCAAAGACCGAACGAACTCAGATTCACCGTTGAACGCTTCATTAACCAGATTCTGATACCTGGTGTGCACCTGCAGCAGCGCATCAACGTACAGCTTGGGCTCGAAATTCTCACCATCCGCAGCAACCTTTTCCACTGCAGCCAAACCGGCTTTCCGGACGTGGGTCTCGAACTTGGCCCGCAGGGGATCCAATCCATCCTTTATCCGCGACAGCAGTCGGTACATCCGAGCCAGATCGTCCTGACGCTCGTTGTCCATAAGAACCTGGAACTCATCCCGCAGTAGATCTGAGTGTGCCGTGACAAGGACTTCCAGGCAGGTGTCTGTGAGGTGTTTCGTGATGTCAGGGTGCAAGTATAGACCAACGCGTGCCTTTTCTTCATCCAGACGAGCTTCCGCTTTCTTCATGTATTCAACCACGCTATTCTCCGCAACAAATTGACGTGACTCATTCTCGTAGTAGACTCTCGTAGCAGAGATGAACGGCTTTTCGAAGTAGAACCGGTAGACTTCCAGAGTCGACTTGGTGCTATCGTTCTCATCTAGACCGAGCGAGACAAACGAATCGACAATACTCTTGATTTGCGACTGCTCAATTGTTTCGCCATTTCGCTGCTTCTCGATCAAGTTCAAAACCGCCTCCATCACCTTTTCGTGAACCTTCAAGAAGAAGTCATCCTTCCACTTGACAAGGTGCAAGGTATATACATCGTATACATTCTTCTTACCCTCATCAATCTCTCGCTTCACCCAGTGACGGTTGAGGTACCGGAAGAGATGGTTGATATACTTGGCGGCTGTTGTGTAGCGGTCCCATTCGCGGATATAAAACGCCAGTAGGGCTTCTTCGGCATGACTTTCGGACTCTTTGCAAACCGCGTCAAGATGACGCGAGAGGTATTCCCCTAACAGTCTGTACAACTCCTCGCCCAGAAGATGGGCTATAGGGGTCGTCAGTATAAACGGCCCCAACAAAGCCAGAAAGAAATCGAAAGAGTTGAAGACTAACCGCCGCGATGTGCTTGTAGACCCTGGCCACTGCTAACTGCTTTTTGTGATGTGCAAAAATCATGGACGGCACTGGTGTATCATCATGTCAGTCGATGCTATGGTAAGACGGAAAAAGAACGAGGCAGGCAGCGTACGTGTATAAGGCCATGTACTGTAGAAAAGAGTCCGAGTTAGCGTCTCAGACTCCGAAAGAGACAGAAAACAAGGAAACATACAGTCTTCATATCCACCCCTTGATCCAAGTTCAGCATGACGCTGTTGATCCCCTTCTCCAAGAATGTCCATCTAAATACCAAGAGATTAGCCACAACCGCCGCATATCACCCGATAAGCAGTGCCGATGAACTCACGTTTCATCAACGTCATCCTTGTGAGGCGTTTGGGGCATTAACGCAGGCATATTGCTACCGAGGTACGAAAGTTTGTGTAAAGGCCTGGAAAGAAAGGCGCCAAAGATGTTGTTAGTTTTAGACATGGACATAGTTTGAGGAAGTCTTCGTCAATACACAGGACGCAAAACAGCAAGAGACCGAAACTGGCAATATATACCTCAATATGCTGCTCCCGGGGTATCGGGCCGTCTCCAAATGTCAACGATCGAATACACCCTCCGTTGGGTACTGAGGCTGGCGGTAAACTGGCTGGGATCGGAAGACACGCGCAGGAAACCCAAAAAAAGAAAAACCGCCCGGGACTGGTTATGAAACCACAAAATAAAGCAAACAAGCAAAGAAACCCAGGGATCAGCTCAGATCCGTGAGTCAGGAAAAGGGTGCAGAAAGAAATCTGGTAATGCGAGAAAGAGAAAAGGCGTGGCGGTTGGTAAACTGGGCGCCGTGGGGAGACTTTGGCGCTTTGGGAAGGCGGTCAGGATGGCTGCCTGTAGCGCTCAAGATAGATGACGATCGATCGTTATCGTGATCAGTTGATTCACACCTGGAGATAGAAGTCTGTCTAAACACAATCGTGAAGAAATGAAATGCCTCTCTATGATGTTGTGGCTCTGCGTCGAATAGGCCTGGCAATACAGCTCAAAGCCATATGAGTACAGTCGTACAATGCACTCCGACAATCAGTAGCAAACAAGGCGTACTAGGCCACCCTTGTATACATCCTTGCTTATACTTCGGAGACTCTATACCGAAATACCCCAAAAGATCCCATATCGCTTGTGTTCTCGATAGAAGAAGAGCCATAAAACGAAAACATTTTTGAAAAAGAACAAAATGACGTCATGCGGTGGACTAGATCTATACAGCGGCGAATTCATTAACCACGAACAGTTTTCCTTCCACATATTGACACTTTGGGATACTACTGAAGGATATAATTGATATTTGTCTGCGCAGGCCACTAAAATACCCGACCATGTTCAGATCCCCGTCCGAGATCCAAGTCACCTCTCGCCAAATCCCCAAATGGGAGCGAATCCCCAATACCTCCATCCAATCCAAGCCCCTCCTCATCTATCACGGAGCATTCAACGCCTCGCCATCTGAGCTGAAAATTCGTTTCAATAGCATTGGGGTGGTCGAACCGCAATGGGTATATGGCATGTTTCCCCAGTCACACTTCCACTCCACAACGCATGAAGTCTTAGGGGTTGTCTCGGGAACCGCTCGTCTGTGCTTTGGTGGGGAAGGGAATCCGGACAGGTTCGAGCCGACTGTTAAGAAGGGGGATTTGATGATTGTTCCGGCTGGTGTCAGCCATCGGCTTCTTGATGAATTAGGCAGTGGGGAGAGCTTCAAGATGGTTGGCGCATATCCGAAGGATAAAGATTGGGATATGTGTTATGGAAAACAGGGGGAAGAAGAGAAGGTCAAAGATATTGAAAGGGTGGTTTGGTTCCATAAGGACCCTTTGTTTGGTGTAGATGGGCCGGCGTTGCATGTTTGATACTGGAGGAGATGAGAATGTGAAAAGCATGTATTATGTATTTGTATGTCGTCCAGATACGCCAATATCCAAGTTCCAAACCAGATTACCCAGGCCATTCCCGTTCAGCCATCCCAAGAAAAAGCAAAATGAGAAAGTAGAAAAGCATGTACATGGCAAAAAGAGCATCAAACAGGCTCACAAGTAAATGAAATTAGACAAGAAATGAAGGGAAATAGATGCGATGGAATATAGCACGCAATTCGGACCTTAAAGCTAACAGCTTCATGCTGGAGCAACCCTCTTGACAAGCCTGTTTGGGATGAAAAGTCAGAAAGATCATGCAAGTTTTATAGCTTGGAAACGCATACCTGAGAACGCTAATTGCAAACGTAGTTAGCCATGCCACTAGGGCTATCAGCAAGACAGAGGCTAATGCCTTTTGTCGGTCGCAAATCGCATCGTTCTTGGGAGTAATTTCCTGGTTGACTTCTGCAAAAGTACAGGAGCCCCTCACTGTCGATAAAGACTCGAATGCCAAACTGAGGTTTGCTGAGTCAAAAACGATGAAGAAAATATCCAGAAGGATGAGTCGTGCCTTGGCCGATGGAGAACGCAAACCCAGCGGCTTTGAGGTATATTCGTCAAAAGTGATGTACACAAGGTACACCAAAGCGACTGCATCGACAATAATCGCCATGAGAGCCGATGGACCCTGGGGATGGATATATTCGCTTGACATGTGCTGGATGGATCCCCCAAGCGCGAGAGCTATCAGAGAGAAACACCAAACAGTGAGCCGGAAGATAAGAGGTACCATTGGACTCTGCAAGAGCGTGTTATGGAAGCGCTTGAACCAGATTTCCCTGCGACGTTTCTTCTTCAAAGGATCTTCTGGATCTTCGCTTTCCTCAAGCTCTCCTCGCCATGGTTGAGAATAGTCGGCGTGGTTCTCATTTAACCAATCTTCCGTCACATGCTCTTCTTCAACGCCTTCTTCACGAGGATATGCTATTGATCTGGAAAAGGTTTGCCAACGCGATTCCCGACGCGGGGTGGTAGATTTCTCAACGTAAATGCTGTCCGCTTGTTCAGAATAGTTGTAATTCGGTCTTGACGCTGTATACGGCGAGTGATTATGTTGAGCGATAATAGCATCGTCGGGCTGCGAAGGGAGGAGTCGCGACGTGACACCGGCGTCTGTCTCATCGTCTTCATATTCAACTGATCGAATCCATGCTGCATGCACACACGCGCGCGTTAGCCAACGCTCTCCAGAGCAAACCCGCCAAAACCCGTGTGTGACCGAACATACCCGGAATAGTCCGTGGTTTAAATCCAAATTGGCGGGTACTTTCACCCTCTTCAACATTTAAATTCTCTGATACCCGCAGCCCACTTGAGGAAAGTGCAAAGGAATGGTTGTCATCATTTTTACTATCATCGATATTGCGGTCGTTGGAAAGAATATCGACAGGGTGAGCATTATGGTCAGGACCATTGCGCGACTCGTCCAGCGATCCCGTCCTCCGTTCTGCAGATGGCTTTTCTTCTAATACCTGGTCTTCCAAGGCTTCACGAGAAATTGGATCTTGAGAGGCCGGATCGTGCTCATCATGCGCCATTTCCTTTCGTCAGCGGACTGAATCAGTGAGATCAAGTCGGCTCTCGGAGGTTGCGGCAGGATAGCGGCTTTCTTGGTCTGCATCGCCCACGTCCCTCATGAAACCGCGAAACGAGGAGGTGAAGGCAAATTGCGAATCCTTCTAATAACCACCATTCAAGCCCGGAAGGATGCGTACGGGGTCGACGAAAAAAATAGGAAGTAATTTCGGCAAGGGTCGTCGGAAGGGAGGTCGGTTCGCTACCAACCTTAAGATTATTATACGAACCGGAGGGACTCGATTCAGAAGGCGGAATGCTACGTCAGAATAGCAGGCATATTAAGATAAACGGTTAAGTACAGGTTTGGAAGATGGACAATATAACACGGAGAAAAAGGAAAAAACAAGATCGTCACAGAACACACGTTGAGGAGTACTCCGTATATTATGTCTGTACAGGGGGTCGGGGAAGATATCGGCATAATAGATCATCAATCGAGACCCATACATAGCCCACGTTCAGCTCGAGACTCGTCCTCGAATCGGACAATTGCCTCTCAAAAAATAGATTTTTACACACCTAAGCTTCATATTTTCTTTCGTGTTGAGTGACTCAGTGAATCTATACTCAGCCATGCCCTTAACCAACAATGCAAACATACCGTAAACGGTAAAACTAACCGGATGTAGAAGTGCTTTGGCGTGTAATGACGTTGAGCGACGAGCCCACACAGTCACTTAGCAAGAATTTCGTCGCCTCCCCGATAGCTCAGTACATCCATTGAAACTGAATTAAAAGCAGCTCGAAAGAAGCCAGCGAGTTTAAGGCATGCCATTGGTACACGCTTCCTTGGACCGATTGTTCTGTCGCGTCTATCGGTAGTTTCCCGTCCCTCTGACCCTTCCCCCCCTTCGCGAATCACATCAGTGCCTTTACTATCCATCTACGCATTCTCCTCCATTATTGATAGATCAAGACGGCGACAGCTGCGATGCGCCTCTTCCTCGTTCCGATCTCGACGAGACGAGCTCTGATTTATTCCCAGCCATTGAGCAAGAACCTCGCGCAAAAGCTGTCGATTACAGATCGGATTACCAACAAGGCTGCGGAAACATGGGCCAAGTGGGAGGAAGCGGATAAGGGTTGGAAGAAGCATCTGGTGTCATGGGGGAACGCTGTTCAACAGCGCATACCGTTTGAAGAATGGGGTCTCAAAAGCATCCCATCGTTAAATGCTCAACGCCGGCTCAGTCAGTCGGATGCAGATAAGAAGGTGGACGTGCTGTTTCCGGGAAATGCAATTCGACGAGAGAAGCTTCGTCCGGTTCTGCATGCCATTGCAGTAGGGCGTCAGAACTTGCATCGGAATAAGATGTGGTGGAGCTTTGTCATAGCTCCTCTGACGGCGCCTATTGCGTTGCTTCCAGTGTACGTATCTGTCGAATGACCACTTTCCTGGCGTGAACTAATCAGATAACAGGATACCCAATATTCCGTTCTTTTATCTCGTGTATAGAGGATGGTCCCACTGGCGAGGTGAGTTCCAACCGCTCCGCGGCCTTGTTCTAAACTGACGAATTCAAGCCTTGAACGGCTCTCAGCATCTGGAGTTTCTTATAAAGAAAGACCTCTTGAATCCAGTACCATATCCCGCACTCGAAAAATTATACGCTGAGCGTGTCTCGGGTGTCCTCAAGACAACTCATGCTGAGAAATCAGCCCCAGACGTCGTGGAAAATAGCGACGACAAACTGCTACTTGAAATGTCTGATGCTAAACAATTGGCTTCGATACTCAATGCGCCAGAGCTTGCACTGGAAGCAGAACGAGCTATCGTGCAAGTCGAGCAGCAGCTGAATGCACAGCAAGAGAAGCACAATGTCGACTCGTCTAAGAAGGCCTGATAAGACCAAACAGGCACATCGGGAAAAAAAAAAAAAAAAAAAAAGATACGACATTACGATCCCTCATTGATTATCATCTGAAAGCTTGCATGTACAGTCACGCAAATCTGTGGGAATGGCGTGAATCGTTGCAATGTAAGACTATACCTATAAACAACAGTCATTATAGTACATATCAGCTACTTTCAAGGCCTTATATTTGCCTAATCATTGTGTTATTCTTTAAATATAACACACTTCGGCATCGTATACTTGCAAATGGTTTCCCCTGAACGGAACTTCCTTGTTCCGACTACCCCATTAGGCTCCGCGGGACGCATACAACTACAGTAACTACTCGACATCATCGCAGTCATAACACCTTGATCTCCCCCTATTTATCTACCTCACATCACAGAGTTACCATGTCGAATAAAAAAATCGAGCAATGGGAAATTGAACGGTACTGGGAGATCTTCGCATCGCTGTCAAATGGCCAAGCACACCTGAATAGCTCCCAAGCGGCCTCGGTGCTCAGGAACAGTCGGCTCCGCGATGACCAGCTCGAGAAGGTCTGGGATTTAGCTGATGTGGATGGGGATGGAGAGCTGGATTTTGAAGAGTTCTGTGTTGCTATGCGACTGGTCTTTGACTTGGTTAATGGAGTATGTTTGCTACCATTCTCCTGATCGGATCACGTCTCCGATATCCATTTTGTTTGCCCCAAGGAGAGGAGAAGCAAAGAATTCTTATGCTAACATTTATGTTTGAATAGGAATTACGCAGTGTCCCGCAGGTGCTTCCAGACTGGCTCGTCCCTGAGTCCAAGGCCCATCTTGTCCAAGCGACTCGTGCGCTGAGCCGTCCAGAGGAGTTCGAACGGATAGAAGACGAGGACGATACCCCTGGGTTGAAAGATGGTTTCGATTGGTATATGAGCCCAGAGGATAAGTCTAAATACGAGGATATATATACTGCCAATAAGAACCAACGCGGAGAAATTGCCTGTACGCCGCGATCCATGTCTCTCACGCGACCTCCATGAAACTAACGAAATGGCTTTAATTAGTTGGATCATTACAACCCCTCTACGACTCCCTCGACGTCCCGGATACCGATGTACGTTCTGCGTGGAACCTTGTCAACCCATCTGCATCACCCGAGATCAACAAGGACGCCACCCTCGCATTCCTGCACATCCTGAACTACCGCCACGAAGGCTTCCGTGTCCCCCGCGCCATCCCTGCTTCTCTCCGTGCCTCGTTCGAAAATAATAAGATCGATTACCAGCTCGACAATAACCGTCCCGCACAGCGATGGGGCGCGCACGGCGACACTGAAACCCCAACCGGCAAGAAGTCCAAGTTCGGAGATACATACCTGAGCCGCCTGGGCGTCGGAAGCAAAACCGGGTACCAACCAAGGGGTACCGATTTCAGCGATACCATCCAAGACGAGGAATGGGAGAAGGTCCGTTTGAGGCGAGAGTTGGCAGAGATCGAGAAGAAGTATGAGTCGGCAACCAAAGCTTCCCAGGGTGATAGGGACCAGCCCCGCTATGACGGTGGACCGAATTGGGCTATGATTAAGAAGGAGGCGCTCCAGCTTCTGGAGTATAAGGAACGTGAATACCGGGAGCTAAGGGAAGGCGTGGGCAGGTCACAGGAGGGGCAGAACCTAGAGCGACTTCGGGAGGATATCAAGGCTGTTGGCGAACAGGTCGATGGATTGAGAAGCCATCTTGCGCAACGGAACGATGTCCTTGCGGATCTGCGGAGGCAAGTCGAGGAGGAGAAACTCAATCGGTAGTGCGAGTTCTCTGTTATCCTATAAACCAGGGCCATTGATTGTCATTTCCTTGCTTTGTTTCTAATTTTCTTGTCTTGCTATTCTGCACAGCCAGTTTGGCGAGGAGCATCAGGCGCTAATGGATACTTTCTTGCGGGTTTCAATGATTTACCTATTAGACTGAACTGGCTTGCATTTCAGATACAACCGTAAATTGATAGTCTATAACTATTGTACATAACAACTTCATCATAATAAAGAAAAAATTAGTCTCTAATTAATCCGCCTGGTATGATATAACCTCCAAACGCCATCAGAAGATCCCCCCCAAGACGAAATCCTAAAGATGGAATCAATGAATTAGTATTATTTCCCAGCAACCTCAGCCAAAAGTCCATTCCCCTCTCTCTTAGTCTCAACGGCCAAAAACGCCGGCCCACTCTGATCCAACCCCTTCTCAGCACGCGCATACGCCTCCTCACTCCGATCCGTCAAGATATCAAGATCCTTCTCACACAGAATCGAACTCGGATCAGCGCCGGTCTCAAATTGCTCAAACTCATCCTCGCCAAGTGCCTTTTTCAGATCATCAACGTCATTCTGGTTTCCCGATGCGCCGGTGTCGAGTAGACTCTTGAATTTGCCGTTTTGGATGACTAGTTTTTCTAGACGGCGCTTCGAGTCTGCTTTTTCGAGGAGGGTTTGTTCGACTGTTCCCTTGGTTGCGAGACGGTATACGATGACAGGCTTTGTTTGGCCGATACGGTGTGCGCGGTCTTGCGCTTGTAGATCTTGTTGGGGGTTCCAGTCTGAGTCGAAGAGGATGACTGTGTCAGCGGCGACGAGGTTGATTCCCTGCCCACCAGCGCGGGTGCTTAGAAGGAAGATCTTGTGCGCAGGGCTAGTGTTGAACGCCTTGATCTGTGCGTGGCGGTCTGGCTGACTGATCGCGCCGTCGATGCGGCAGCAGTGCCAGTTGCGGAGTTGAGTGGCCCAGTCTCGGAGGATGTCAAGCTGTGTCTTGAACTGGGAGAAGATGAGGATCTTGTGGCCATTTGATAAGAGGCGCGGAATGAGGCGGTCGAGGAGGAGCATTTTGCCCGAGGAGGTAACGAGGGATTCGTCGATTGCGCTTGGGTCGTCGCCCCAGGGCCAATAAAAGTTGTGGGGAGAGTCGCAGGTCAATCGGGCTTGCATGACGGGGTTCTGCATCTTCTTTTGGGCGATTTCTTTCTTTGCAAGCTTCATTGTGTTGGTTCTCTCCAACTCCTCCTGCTCGGATTCGTTAGGGTCTTCAATTTCTAGCTCATCCTCGATGCCTTGCTCAACTTTCCGCAACTTGGAAAGGAACTCCCGATCACTGATCTCTCTGTAACTCTGAGGTCCTCTGCGTCTGCGTGTGCCCGATCCATTGCTAGCAGGAGTGGAGGCACGACTGGATTTGATACTCTTGTTAGGGGTTGATGATCCGCTGCTATCAGCGCCGCGTTTCCGACTCGTTGCGCGTGTCAGTGTCTTGTTCTGCGCCACAATTCTCTCCCGTGCTTTGTTTTCCAGGTACTGGCGGCCAGTACCATTGAGAATTTCACGGTACAGGTCCTTCTGCTCAACCGTCAGAGGTGCATAGAGGATGTACTCTCGTTTCTTTGGGAGCGACGTCTCAACGTCTGTTTTGATACGTCGCAGGAGGAATGGCTTCAGGATCGAATGCATTGTCGAAACCAGCGTGCGTTTCCGGCGTTCAACCACATTAGCTTGGCCATTGTTGTCCAGCATTGACGAGAAATCGAACCAGCCCTGGAAGCTGTTGAGGTCGTTGAAGATGTCAGGTAGCAGAAAGTGCAGTAGAGACCACAGCTCGGTGATATTGTTCTGCAAGGGTGTACCAGTAATGAGAAGTCTGTTCGCAGAGTTGTACGAGAGCAGTTCCTTGATGAGCCGGCAATTCATATTCTTCAGACGGTGTCCTTCGTCCTATGACTCGTCAACATTGAACCATCACGCGAATTGTCAGAAAACGTACCACAATGATATACCTCCACTGGTACTGCGAAAGGAACTTCCGGTCGTTCATACAAATCTCGTAAGATGTACAGACAACCGGGAAATCCATACTCCTCTGGTCTTTCAGGTTCAGCTGATCTCTCCTGATAGAAGCACGCTCTTCCTTTGGCCCATGATACAAAACCGCATTTATATCAGGAGTCCATCTCGCAAACTCATCCACCCAGTTGCTAACGGTACTCAGAGGCGCAGCAATCATAAATGGCCCCGAGACCTTCTTCTCCTTGAAGAACGCAATAAGTGAAATGGCCTGGATCGTCTTCCCCAGACCCATCTCGTCAGCCAAAATTCCACACAATCCATTCATCCACAGTGTCTTAAGCCACTCGAGTCCCTCCAGCTGGTACTTCCTCATCTTGCCACCCGTCACCAGCTCCGGCTGCTGAGTAGCAACGAGCTCCTGCTCACCAAGCACGGTGGGGTTGGCTTCGAATTCATCAGCAGCTTGCACGAGTGCCTCCTGTACTGATGGTTTGTCCTCTGGGACGCCTGCATCCGCTGCCTTCTGAAAGTAACTCGAGATGTTGTTGTTGCCCTTTGCAGGAGCCTTCTTCCCACGGCCTGAGCCTTTCTTCGGTTTCTTCGTATCCGATTTTGCAGTTTCCACCGCTGCTTCTTCTTTGACGGACAAATGTCTCGCACTCGAGCGAGTTCCGCGCTTTTCGGTCGATTCGTTCTTGGGGGTAGACTTGGTATTCTCGTCTGCGGCCGCTTGTTGCTGTAATCTAGCCGCTTCCTGCCTCGCCTCTTCTTGCTGCTTTTTCATCTTGTCCGCCATGATAGCCACAAAAACCTGCACGTTCAATCGCCAAGACGTTAATCCATTTCCTCTTCTTCAAGGTTCATGATAAGGCAGGGAGAAATACCTCACTGGTGTTCAAGAGGTGCATCAGCGCCTTAGCCTTCGTATCTATCTCCTCCACATCCTCAGTCGTATCCTCTGCTCCATTTGCGATGTACTTTTTTGCATCCTCCATTTCCTGATCGGCGTCTGTCATTGGGGACGACGTAGACGATGGCTGCGTTGATTGCGGTCGTGGTTGATTCTCGCTCTGCGAACCCGCAGGCGTAACCGGGGTGTCCGGGTTCGACATATCGTTTTCTCTGGGTCAGTTTAATTACCACAGATAGGTATGGATTCGAGAAATTGAATCAAAAGCAAATTAGTATTCGTAGAATTTATGGGGGAAGGATAGGACGCCCGGCTGCTGGTCCAATGTGATACATCGGATGGAGGGAGAGCAGTGCCAGAGTGGAATTTCAGCGATCAAGAGAAATCCCGCAATCTGGGCCAGGAATATTCCGGGATTGTAAGCTGCTTCGGTTTCAGCTTCTTTGTGTATGAACGGGGCTTCTTTTGTCTTTTGTTCGTCTCTTTCGTCGCGAATCCTGGACGCGGATTATCGCGTCGGTGCACGGGCCATATCTTTATTGATTTTCTAATCATGATAGGGACACCGAGAGACTACAATTGACTCTACAGAGTGAAGTACATAGCGAAGAATACGTTTTAATTATTTCAAGATTTATTCACAGTATAACAAGCTGTTTCTCTTGCATCTCTGGCTGTTATGGTCCCATCCAAGATTGTCGCAGTAGGCCATATCGTCTTAAAACGAGCCCTATATCCAGTTACCTGTTAATCAGATAGACAAACCGCGGCCATGGACATCGTATCCTTCCTCCAAACCCATATCAGGATTTCCTTGTCAAATATTTGGATTATATGACATGTAGCGCTTGATTCCAAAGTGCGAAAGATGTCGATAGCCGTAGTAGTTGTCATCTGTCATTGATTCCCCATTAAAACTTCTTTAGTTGGAGAGGGTGTAGGTGTGGGCACCAGCACCATCTCGTCCTCATCCTCGTCGGATTCTTCTTCATCACAATCTGAATTTTCGGCCTCAGGCGTAGTCTCAACATAGCTGGTCGTCGACCGAACATTGTCGCTGAAACCCAGACATGACGGCGACGGGGAAGGTGGACGCGAGACTTCTGAGCTGTCACCCATAACCTCATCATTAATTTCATCCTGCTCGATCTCTATCATATCATCGAAGTCCAAGAATTGCTCATCCACCTGAAGGTCATCTGGGTTCCTTTCAAGAATAACTTTCCCTGGGGACGTCAGTTGCGAATGGCTCTCGAATGACCTAGGGTCTGGTTCCATTAAAGGGAACGCAGACAGCCAATCATCGTCGCTCACGTCTTCCCACGCTTTATTCTCAAGGCTTCTGGAGAAACCTTGTTCCACTTCTAATCCAATTTTGTTCAGTCTGTCCTTTAGCCACGTAGAAACAGGTACCGGGTTTCCCCTCACAACTAACTCCGCGAGTTTTTCTGTGCTTGGCTGTGGAGGCATAGAATCAACAAGATGATAAATAATGGGAAGAGGTGAAGTGACTGCCTTTAGCGGCTTTATACAGGGGTGGAGCAATGCGTCACGGTGGGTGATGTTGCAAAGTCTCGAAAGATCCGGGTCACCCTGACGCTCAAATATGTCTTTTGGAGCTCCAGGATATATGGTTATGTTGAGGCGTGGCCGTTTAGACGCGGGAAGATCAAAATCAGGGACAGTCCTATCCGTAAAACCATCCATTGAAGCGAAGGCATTCACTAATGGTGAGCCTGTCTCAGAAACGGTGTGATTCTTTCCCTCCTCAGTTGCTTTCCAATCAGCTATACCATCGCTCCATTCCCCAGCGTAGCCATTGTCTATCCTGCGCTTATCAAGAAACCGTCTAGCATTCACCAACTCCCCGGGATAACACGAGAAAAAGTCCATTTTTATGGCGTCCGATAATCTGCGGCCGTATTTTCGAGAGGCCCGGCGAAATACGAACTTGTGTGAAGACCTGTCGTGATTCAATGCGCTATTGTCTATTCTCAGAAGCGCTTTGAGCTGCTTCTCCCGCATTCGCCGTAGTTGCGCATCCTCCAAGTCCAATTGCTTCTCACGTTGAGCCATATACTCTTGTGTCTTCTCGCATTGCTTTGTCGTTAAACCAAGCATATGAATGACCGTAGGCCAATTATAATGCTGGAGAAGGTTATCGGCAATTTCGACTTGAATTCTGGGGGACAGGTCGCCCCATTCAGGATCATGAATTGGGTTGGCTTCCTTTATCTGTCGTCAGCAAGGGAGATCTAAGGTTCGAGACAGCCGCTCAACCAACCTTTATGCCTCCTCCATCAGGGGAGCTATCCATCTCGTAGTCGCTATCGTCCACATCACGATACGCAAAGGACGTATCACTGTCTGTTTCTGCCATCATGTCCATATTTCTGGTGTAGATAGGATTATAGCCCCCATTGCTCGCAACCCAGCTCACGGTGATGGGATGGTCGTCTCCATCGACCATAACCCAGCTCTTCGGCAATTTTTCGGGTTTAGCTCTCACGTTCACTCCTGCTGTTGTGCTTTTTCTGTCGGGCCCTTTGTGAATCCTGCCATCTGGATGAAACTCACGTCTTGGCTCATCCTGGCGCTGTATTGTGTTCCCCTGTCTGGAAGCATTCTTATCCCTTTTCCCAGGAACTCGTGGCTCGTTCAGGGTCGGAAATGCAGCGGGAGGTAGATTTGGGTTGTAGTCGACGTAGCGATGCAGTGGTGGATCCCTAGATCTGCGTAGCGATTGTCTCGGACATTCCTCGTAGGTAGCCTCGTCTTTCAGACGCTGAGGCGCGTTTACAGTACCTCGAAGCCGCATGATAAAGTTAGGTTTATTGCCTGGTGACTGTCGCGTTCGGGAAAGGGATATCTGTCAATAGACGCGTCTCGACGCGTAGTTAAGGATATCATATGGAGCAGGCAGGAGATAAAACATGGCCTCTTTGGAATTAATGGATGACAGTAGTCAATGGAAGACAATATTTATGTATTGGAGAAGATAAAGAGTATAACTGAGGGTCTGAGCAAGTAATTGTAAAGAGAACAATCTGGTTGTAGACAAAGTGACAAAAGAGGAAGGTGGTGACTAAGTGGTCAACATTCTTCTGTGAAGTCCAAAAACAAGTCAACAAATTTCAAACATCAATAATGACAAAAACTGCAAAGAAACAATAGTAGCAAATTCACATTAATACAAAAGTCTTCAGCAGGGTATCTTCATACAAGTCTAGAAACAAGAATAAGAACATAGGCAATAGTCAGGGCAAGAAAACAGAATGACAAAGAGCGCCAGACCCTCAAGGCTCTAACAGTAAACAGTTCACTTATCCTTGAAAGTGCCGCTATGGCTATTCAGGACAAAGCAACTATACGCGGTCCTGGAATGGAGCCATCGGCTTCCTAGCATCCCACTCTTGGTTCCTATCCACATCCATGACATGGTCTTCCATTGCTTCATCGACGTGAGAATCAAAATTCCTTTTCTTTGGGGCCGACACCGGAGGAGGGGCAATATCTGATTCCGCAATGGATACACGCCTAACTCTTTCCACGTCCCTCTTAGCCTCAAGAATCGACTCGAAGCTCATCAGCAGCTGACTCAAATCATCCTCGATACTGACACAGAAGCGCCGGTTTTGCAGGGTCTTAAGCGCAGCCATTGCATCCAAATTGAACATGACCATCATATACGTTATCAATACTGCAGCTGAGCGCTCGTTGCCAGACTCACAAAACACCAGAACCTTCCTCTGGATAGGAGATCCGAATTTGCCCCGGCCCTGACTAGCAATGTGATCATTGATACGTCGAATTGCACGAGGGAACGCGGTAATCAGCTCTTGGTTGCCGGAAACATCGACGGAATCGGCCTCGATACCCAGTTCTGAAGCTGCCTTGTCACCGGATACGAGGCGTGCTTGGGCCGACCGCTGGTTTCGAATTGCCAGGAGCAGTGTAAACCCTTCTCTTTGGAGGTATTCCCTATCCCGCAGGCACGCCATTGGACCCAGATAGAGAAAGGGCAAGATCGGTTGAGCTACTCTCCTCATTTGATAATTCCAGTCCTGAGTGAGAAACCTGTGGACGAAGCAATCTGGGTTTACCATTTCGAAGAAGCCAGGGCAGACAAAGTCGCCTTCTTTGAAATCATGAGAGGTAATTTCGATGCTCTGCTCCGTGTCTGGCCCGCCGTCGCCGAAGCATAGCAGAGTGGATGCCGATAAAGTGGGTTGGATCTTTCCGGATGTATATTCTTGACTGCGGACATACTGCGAGGTTTGCTTTTCGGACATAGGAACTTCCTTGGTGGTAGATAACGGCGCCATCTTGGCACCTTTTCCGTATCTCCTGAGTAATCGTCTGTAGGAAGTGCGCGTGTTGTTCTCAGCAATCTATCGACAGAAAAATACGTGTGATTCCTCGTCCAGGTAAGAGCTCAGCCAGTTCAATAAGGAGAGTTTCCCTTCAATAGATTTCCGATGAACAAACGAGATCCTATAGAAAGCCCACCCAGTCAGGAACCCGAATTAATGATTTGCAAGGACTAGGACATTTCAAAGACACGCTGCCCAGTAAGTAATGAATGTGTCTAAGTTCTGTCAATCCAGTCTTTCTCTTTCTTTCTCAAGCACGAAACAATGTGGAAAAAGAATAATGAAATCAACTTTTGAGTTCCTGGCCGACGAAATAGAGAGTCTGAATAGGCAATAAGGCACTGACCAGGGGATGATCAGCTGACCCTGCATATGCCAAGAAATTGTACATCTTTGTGCATAGTGCACAAGACATACAACCATAAATAGCCTGGGGCTGTTTAATAGCTTCTAGTGCTTAAGCTTCTAGTGCTTAAACGAAGCCATAAATTAAACTGACTATAGGCAGAAAAGCTAATATGTACCGGGCCCAGTAAATACGCTGGGCAACCAGTCAGGTGACACAAGACACAAAGCAACATGGCCATCCCGTATTGGTTAGGATGAACCATAGAGTATAAAATCACAATCAATTGAATTGAGTCATACTACGGCTAGAGTCATTCATAACCAGCTGGTTCTAGCTATATACGGACACCGACTGGGGGGGATCGAGCCTTGGGCAAGACGCGTATGATGCGATACTGTTATATACGAAGAGAGCATGACTAGTCGTGGATTACTAAGTTTTTTATTCCTGGGCCTTAAAAACCCCATAGCAGAGAAAATACACCTTACTTAGGGTGACATAGAAAGATGAGAAAGCACATCGCATTGCAAACTATCAGAAAGCCCAACCTAAAGCTATGGGACAAGCAACACATGACTTTGGAGAGGATGATGGCAACAAAGGAAATGGAGTGTAAACGCCTGGGTATATTTCCAATAAACAAAAGCAACATAGCAAGCCATCCGCGAAACACCTCTTGGCCCGCAACATTGACTTCAAGCAAACGCCATATTCTTTTAAAAGCCACCGATTCCTCCCGAAATGAAAGTATAGTAGAATCAGTTCCACGTACTCTGAAACAAACCAAGTCACGGTAACTTCATTGGAATATCCGACGAGGAACCTTATATATTCAGAACAGACAACGAACGCCTGTATTGTGCAAAAAGAAACGAAGATCTAGAAAGACCTGAACTGTAGCGGGCAAGTGTCAGAAACACGTGACGTCTCACGAAGCAATCTCAACTCGTCCGTCCCCCTGCGGAGCAGGAGCAGGAGGCTGTGGGATAGCTTGTTGAAGTCCCCCAACAATCCTTTCAAGTTCCTCTAGACGACGGTCCTTCTCCTCAACCTCGCGTCGTAATCTCTTGAGTTCGTTCCGCATATCAACCCCATTTTCTTCCTCGGTCATTCCAATAGAAGGATCATCAAGTGAATCGCGCTTCCGCTTAATGGCCGGAGGGGCTGAGAGGGATGCGGTACCGTCCAGTTCAGACACGAGGTTTGGCAATTCTGGCGAAGGACCACTCTCTGTGTGCATGTGGCGTCGACGAAGGTGCTCCTTCAGGTTCTCTTGGCGCGTGAATCCATGGCCTGTGCTGCGGTTGCAGTCGGCGTATGGGCACATCAAGGGCTTCTTGGCATTGACGTTCTTCTTGTGTACTTCGCGCTGGTGTCTCAGCAGACCGCCGGAGTATGTAAATCCTTGAATTTTATCGCAACCCGGTTCCATACACTTGTAAGGTCGATCATGTTTATCCATGTGTTTGCTGTGCAGACGCGTTATGTTAGCACCATGTTTCCTTAAGAAGGGAAATCAAAAAACACTTACTTCCATTCACATGGGCGACGAAAGATAGGAGGCGATTGATGGCATTCATGATGATCGCAGTAGATTTGACCCGCGGCATTCTTGGGCGGATCGCGCGTTCTTCTCACCGACAGACGCGGGCGAGATCCCTCCATAAAGCTTGTAGGGATTTGGTCGTTCATCTTCGCTGCCGGAGAGAGGGATTCTTGAGCTGTGACGAGGATAGATGCAGGCCCAGGGGGACCTTCGCTTCGTGGGCTAGGATAATCAGACCCGTCACCCATAGCGCAATTGCAACCCCGCCGTTGACAGTGGAGGGTTGGTTGTGTTGAGAGTGAAACCGTCGAAGGAGCGGAAAGGTAATATCAATAATTTGAATATCTTTCTTAGAGATGAAAAATAAAAAAAAGAAAGATAAAAAAACAGAAGGCGTAGCGGCGTCACTCAGTCGTGTAGTTCGGTAGTAATCCTTAAAGAGGAAAAGAGTTGGGAACCAAAATTTTCAGGTTGAAACAAGGCAACTATGTTATGCCAAGGCGCTAATGACTAATCATCCAAATTGGGTATCCGCCACTTCGAAGTCGGATTTTAGCGATATGCCGAACAAAGGAGACAGTCAAGCCGGGGATGCGCTGTTTTTATATACTCTGTAGAGTCGAGTTTTTTAATATGTTTATTAAGAGTCAGACGAGATGAAGGCTGACTGTTGGATCTGATCTGGTCGATCCTCCCAGGATTGCCTGCACACGTGGTGTAGCCTGATGAAAGAAAAAGGGGGCGCGTCGTTTAGAGTATATACGCCCAATCGGGTATAGTAGAAGGACGTTTAGGACTGAGGCGAGGTCAATAATGAGCCTTTTTTGGGCGGCAGTAACTGGAGTGACTCATCATATCTAGTGTATCATAACAGGAATAGTCAGGCAACGACGGACGATATTAACGCCCAAGTCATCGTGACTCTTGAAATTGTTTGTATTGCCAATGGGACCGCTGAACGCCACAGATGTGGCGTCTAGTTAGCCGCCAATCACGTGCCGCGTACTGACCGCTCAGCTTCGAAGCGATCTCAGTTTCAGCATCACTATTGTCAATGGAGATAAAAGTGAAGCTGAAATGCAAAGCTTGGAGCCAGATCATGTGTGTGCGTGGTATACATGGCGGCCCTGTTGATGCTGCTGATGCTGTGTTGAACAGCCCTGACCCATGTCGGCATTACCGCCTTGCTTCGTTGATCCATTGGTGCCAGAAAATTCCGGTCTTCAGGCACAATTCATGTTCGACCGGATTACAAGTTTGCCTTCGGTGAGGAGCAGCTGTATGCGCAATATGAACTCAGCCACCTCCACTGTCTTTCGGTAGAGGCTCAGGAAAGTCAGTGCGAATATACCCTACATAGTACAGCACGGCTTGATATGCCGTATCGTGACGACAGTTACAGTTATAGCAAATACCATTGATCTGTATCAATGAATCAGGAGTTAGCTGCTTGGCTTGTGTTATTTTTGTCTTCAGACAGTTCCTATTGTGGATTGGATAATATGCCAGCGAACGACAGCACACGGTCCATGAACATCAGTGGCACCGTGTCATTCTCAAATCCGGAGTTCTTTCGAACAAAGGAAACCCTTCCAACTTCGGCAATTTTGAGCAGGCATCCGGATTGTTTGCGTTGGAGTTAGCATAGCATTCAAAACGTTGATTGTGGCGCAGCGTCCCAACCCAACGGATACTCCGAATCTCTCTGCAGCGTTGACGAGTAGGGCACACTAATGCTTGGCCGTTATATATCAGCATGTTATAAGCTCGATCTACTGTGGCGGAGTCTGCAGGATATAGAATTTTTCGATGCCTGTTCGATTTTATCAAACAGGTTTGCGTCTACGGCGGGAATATATAAATAGTAGCATCGAGAAGCCGGACACTGCCCTATCTGGAGAGGTACGAGGGATATTCTAAGAATATTCTTGGAATTTATTAAGGCAGCACAGTAACGAACGGAATAGTTAGATTCATTTGCCTTCGACATGGCGGCTAGTCCCACTTCAGCGGCATTGCCAAACCGGGTCATTTTAACATAGTACAGAATCGACGTCAACAACAGAGTTTAGAGAAACAACCGCGAGAGAAAACCGGCATGTGGCTGTTTTAACCACTCCGAATGACCATGGTGACTTCTGCACTGCCTTGGTGATACCGACTAAAATCAACTAAAAGCATTCAACAGAAATAAAACGTAAAATTTATGAAAACAAACAAAAGTCATGGCAGACTGCATTATGGATCCGCTGCTGTCTATCGTTCGCGGGCAGGTTGAACTTTTCCAGCATGGCCGAGAAATCCGTGGAACGCAGCGTGAAGCTGAATAAGTCCCCAGAAACCTCGTTCGCTGCTAAGAATGATTAGCGAGGGCAAACAAACCGTGCTATCAATATTGAACGGCCCTGGACTGTCCTCACAAGCCGCGCACAAGCTCATCAGACATTGGATATAGCGACTTTTCAAACCTGATAGAACGGATCTTAACCATTGAGAAGAGATGCTAACCCCTGGGATATCAAAAGTGACGACAAATGATAAACCCGGGATCTCCATTAATCTCCGCTAGCAGCTTAAGAGATGTTCCTATCAGTTGGAAACCTGCAAGAAAGGCACCAAAAAGGAGACTTTCATGTCCAACGAGGCGAACGAAAGACGGCACGGAGTCCAAATATTCGAGCCATGACTGACGCGACCCAAACATTTGCAAGAACCATTGGGTTGCTGGTTTATAGGAATGGCTGTCTGCAATAGGCGCCATCCTAAATCGTGAATAACAAGATAACCATAATCAATCATAGCTACCCCCAACCTGGCTTGCAAACGCTGTGGAAACGCTGCGCGCATCGTCATCATCGTTCATATGACCAGGGACACCACGAGTGACACGAATGCTAGCAGAACTACCCCCAAAGATGCTATTATTGTCAGGGACTCCGGGCCTGTAGGGCTCGCGTCCTCCAGATTCCACATAGCGCTTCAATCGGTCTGACTGGCTAAGACTGGGTTGCTTGTTCATGTCGTTGATGCTTAAGCCAGCAAGACTGACACCACCCTGATCAACGCTCTTGCCGTCAATGATGCTGGCCGTGATATCAGATTCCGTAGCGGCGACAGACTCTCCAGCAAGGCTGGGGGCTCGCTTTCCACGGCTGCCATTGGCCTGTCGACCACCAGGGAGGGCGGGCCATGAATCCGTGAAGTTCTGGAACATGGGAGGATAACCAGATGGAAGGCCAACCCCACCGAGAGTGGACGAGTGAACGGAGGAGACATCATCGGGGATGTAGCCAACCATGGATCCAGTGTCGTGGAAATCGTTCCGGTGGCCATTCCGTCCATTCATTATACCACTAGTAACATTCGATGCGTGGCTATAGGCGATCTGGAAACGCTGGGGACCCCTGTACGCCTGCTTGGGGCGGCTGAACTGGATCAGAGATTCCTGGAGGTTGGTGAGAGGCCCTTCAACGAGACAGTGTCTCTCCTTGAAGTGCTGAAGGAGGAAGTTCCACAGAGGATGCTTGGACAGAACCTTCGGATTTCCGAGGATGGCCAATCCATACTTGGCACGAGTAAGGGCAACGTTCAGACGACGAGGATCACTCAAAAAACCGATACCCTGATGGTCATTGGAACGGACACAAGAGAGGATGATGAAATCCTTCTCTCGTCCCTGGAACGCATCGACAGAAGCAACCTCGATTTCCTTATAGAGTTCTTTCTTAAAGGTGCCGTTCGCTTGCATAGAGCTGACAATATAACTCCGCTGGCCTTCGTACGGTGTAATGACACCAATATCCTGTGGCTTTACACCGGCCTTGAAAAACCGCGTAACGATCTTCTCCACATTCGTTGCCTCCGTGCGGTTGAGATACGAAGTTCCAGAAGCCGCAATCTCTTCGTTTCCCAGATTCGACCAGAACATCATGGGCTGATCGCCAATAGGCCAAGGAAAATCAATTTCGGGCTTGAGACGATCGACACCAGTAATACCATTTTGCAGAGAACCTTCGTAAAACATGTTGGATGGAAATTCGGACAAACATGGGTTCATACGATACTGCACAGCGAGGCGGATAGGTGAGCAACCAAGGATAACGAGACGCTCAAAGAGAGATTGGTTGAGACCAGCCTTGGCAGCCTTCTTGTTCATAATGACAGGTCCAAGCTGCTGGTGGTCACCAACTAATACGACCTGCTTGCAACCCATGACCAGCGGAATCATGCACTCTGGCTCAGCGGATTGCGTCGACTCATCAATCAAAACAGTACGGAATTTGAGCTTAGAGAGACGAGGGTCACCGGCACCGACACAGGTGCAGCAAATAACATCCGCATTTGCCAAGATCTCCCGCTCTGCAGAACGTGTGAGTTGCTTCAATCTTTTCTCGTCCTGGCTAGACAATTCTCCAAGCTCAGATTTCAATTGGTTAAGTTTGATGAGCTCAATGTTGGTGTCGTTCAAGCGCACTTGCTCATGCAAGGAGAGGAAGCCAACGGGAGATTCCACATCTTCGCGGGACTTGGCAGTCACTCGCACCGTTTTGAGACCGGTTCTATGGATGCGTTCGCAGAGCTGATCCACCGCTACGTTGGACGGCGCGCAAACCAAGACTTGACCTCCGTTGATCTTTCCAAGATGATAAATAATAGTCGCAGAAGTGACCGTTTTACCGGTTCCAGGTGGGCCTTGGATTAAACTCATAGGTCTCTGGAGCACGCTCTTGACTGCGTTGATCTGGCTACCATTGAGCTCCGGAAGACCAGGAACACTGAATTTCTTCGGTAGCTGCGTCTTCATGGGCGCAGCTGCAACCTCATGCCCGAGGAGACGGTGGAATATGTAGCCAGAGACACTCATCTCATCGACTGCAAAAGTCTTCATAGCGAGCTGCATACGGTCAAAAGAAGTCGACTTCCAGACATAGTCTGCAGTGAAGTTGTGAGTGCACTCTGTAGGCACAGACTTGTGCTCACCCTTTGTGCGCAATTCGATAGTCACCTCATCCGATTGGTTGTTCGGAATCTTAATCACATATCCCATTCCTTCCCACTTGGCACGCAATTCACCGGTATATTTCAGGCGCATCTCGTCGCCAACAGCTAATTTGACATCTCCCAGTTCGAGTTTTGGAAGAATAAAGCTTGCCAAGTGCTTGTTGTTAAGACCCAGATCCCAACGAACAATCAGCCCATCCTGCGACTGAGACTCTTTCAACTTGCGGTCGTAGTCGGCCTCAATTTT